ATGGCAACAGCCACACTGTCAATTTCTTTGCTCCACCTGCCCTGTATCTTAACTTCTTACTTCACCATAGCCTCAGAGAGTTAATGATTCACTGGCGGTTCAACATGTATTGAGGTGTCGGGGCGCTAAGCTGGATGCTGGGTACAATGGATGAGATGACGTTGCCTCGAGGAGTCTGGTCTCATAACTCGAAGACATTCTCAACTGTTCTCTGTGCCCTTTCCACCCCTTTCTCCTCCCTCTGCCCTGGGAAGGGATCTGTAGCCTAGTCCTTGGGGTGGTTAATCTTCCCATGAACGGGCTGGAGGTGGACCAGCTGAGCCTGCCAGATAGAAAGATCAAAGGCGCCTGGAACCCTGACGCCTGGAGGAAGCCAGCCTGGCTCTCAAGAATGCCACTGGCACCGCGCGAGTTTCCTAGGGCATCGCCAGAATTTGGAGAAAAGGATGCAAAGCTAAGAAAGGAAGTTCCTCTCGCCAGCTGGCTGGAGTCTGCGCCTCTCCTTGTTGGCTGAGCAGGGTCATTACCCTAGAAGCTTCCCTGGGCGGTGTCTTTGCGCTGGGCCAGTCCGCATTGACACACGCACCCGGCTGTCTCGGAGGCGGCGCCCGGAAAGGGATGCGGACCCGGGAGGCGGTGTAGGCTGGGGGTCGAAATCGGATTCTCCATCCTTCTCCTCCCGCCCACTTCCAGAAACTTGTCTCCCGGGTAGAAAAGCCTCAGAGGAGCCGTTCCCTACTCCGCCTCTTGTCTCGGGGCTCTTTCCTGCCCGAGAGCCCCACCCGGCGCTTGCCACGTTCTCCCTACCAGCCCGAGACCCTGAGCCTCAACCCCAGGCTGACTTCCCACCTGCCAGAAGCACAGGGCCCCAGCCCAGAGCAAACCCTCCTACTACCCCTGGAATGAAGGGGAAAGCTTTGCTGACCTGGATTGGATCGCGGGACCCTCTGCGCAACCGAGAAGTTGTAGAGGGCGTAAGTCCCGGGCGCTCGGATTTCTCTCCCCCTTAGGGGTCGCAACGGAGCCAACAGCAGCCGGGCCCTAATCCGTCCAGGCCTTTAATCCATCACCTGAAATCTCTTTGAGAGCTCAAGACGAACGCGCACACACATCCATACACCAGGGTTACACAAATCTTTTATTAATATTTTCTGAGGACGAGTGGTTTGATGTCTTGACTGGCATTTAAGCATTAAGAATACACTGCATGCCACCGTGGAGTGAGTAGAAATGTAAATGAAACTGCAGCCCAGAACATGCAGCCTCTTAAGAAAAAGTAATTCCCAAATATTTTCTTTCTCTCCTCTTCAACGTCTTTTGTTTCTTTAATGAGACAGATCCCCAAACAGTGATTCTGAGTGTGGTTTCCCAACCAGTAGCCTCAGCATCTTTTGGGAACTTGTTAGAAGTAGAAATTCTGGGGCCTCACCTCCACCTCACACCTCTTGAATCTGGAACTCGATGGATGGAGCCCAACATTCTACTTCCAGGAGCTGTCCAGATGATTCCCATACATGCCCAGGAATCACTGGCTCAAAAGCCTCCCTGGGCAGTGTTTCCCACTGATCACTAAATATAACAAGCAGGTACCAACCTTGTTTACCACTTATCTGTTTAGAAAGAAGTCTGACGTGACAGTGGGGAAGACTGCTGGAAGCACAGTGAGTTGCCTATAAGAAGTCATAGAAGCAATCAGAAGGGGGGAGAGAGAGAGGGAGAGAGAAGGGACTTCCCCAGCTTCAGTCCACTTTCAGTATCTGTCTCCTCCTCCTGAGAACTCACAGACATGCTTAGTTGAAACATTTCATTTTCCTTCCTGGCTTCTACAACCTGCTTTGGTCGTTCTCCTTCTAGACTATCTTAGAAACCACCTTCTAAGATATTTTTTATAACTGAGAGGTCACACCTCCCTCACCCCTAACTATCTGGCTTGTGGTAAACGGGGTCCCCCACTCCTTCCGATACCGCTTGCCTCCTTTAAAATCGAGACATGCCAAGTACCTGTGCTGTCACGGTAGGCTTAAAGTCACACCCCGCTGGGACAGGCTTGAGAAGAGCACCAGACATTGGGAAGTAGGGCATGGTGGGTGCAGGAGGACTGATGACCTGGCAGAAGAGAAGGGTCCATGGGAAGGAGAGATGTTTAGACTGTGGATGTGTGTGTGGAGCGGGGTGGTCCTGCGCCAGGGCTAGTGGTAGCCACAACCCAGTCATTCCCACCATGTTGCTTGCTCCTTTCCGTGGACAACATTTGGGTCCCCTAGTGTGCCCAGGCTCAAAGGCTGAGACCCCTGTGCTCAGGGTTTCCTGACAGCCAGGCACCAGTGTAGCCCGTCTATTTGCTGGTCCCACTCCCTATCTTTGTTCTCTGAATTTTTCTGGACTCTGGATTTCTAGGCAATCGTCACATTGGTATAAAGCTCTGGACAAAATGTGAGAACATCGAGGAGGGGTAAAGGGGTGTGTGTGTGTGTGTCTGTGTGTGTGTGTGTGTGTGTGAGAGAGAGAGAGAGAGAGGAGAGAGAGAGAGAGGGAGAGAGAGAGAGAAATTGCAACCTTCAACATTGCATTGAAGGGGTGTGTTGGTTCCTGCAATAAAAAGACCCTCGCTTGTGCATGCTCTTGAGCTTCCTGCCTGAGTACTTTCAGGTCTGGTCGGGTCTAGTATAGGCAGCTCACCGCCAGCCACTTAGTACAAGTGACCAATATGTGCACGGATCTTTTCCATTACAAAGCAGTTGCAAAACTATAACTTCATTTGAGCACCACTAAGACTTTGTGAGGTGAAAGAGGAAATGTATGAGTACAATTATTATTATCATTATAATCACGTTTATCCCCACTTTTGGAGATGAGAAAACTGAGAATCCAAACGCTTTCAGGAAAGAACTGGACGCAAAACTAGGGCTTAACTTGCGTGTCCCGCGTGCACAGCTTCAGGCCTTATGCTGAAAACACAGGCTGCAAATTGTCGGTGGGAGGCATGAGGACTTTTTTAACAAATTGTTTTGCGATTGGGGGTGGTCAAAGAATGAGCAAGCAGAAATTTCTTCTCTAGGGGGCCGCCTGCGTAGAGTGCTCAGAATTTTGAGTATTTATTGTAAAAACGTGAGTGGGAGCTTGGAAATTTTGCTGAACGTGAAACGCAGACAACTGAATCACGTTGGGACGTATCTCTGACTTGAACTCTGGATCGGTGAGGTGAGGGTAGACGGTCCATCCCTCTGGTAGAAGCGAATTTGGGAAATGTGGAGGTGGCCAGAGCTTAAAATGCTCTCTTGAGGGTCAAGTCCGGGTAGGGGGTTAAGGGGCTGGGAGGGAAGCCTGACTCCCTGAGAGGTCCTCCGATGTGCGAATGACAGGTACGTGGATGAAGAGTCACCCGCGTTCCCAGCGCTCGGAGAATGGAGATGTGGACTTGGTAACGTGGTAACTGTCTCTGGCAGAGAACATCCCTCCTGGCACAGCGGTTCCCCGGGTCAAGAGCATCGCCGGCTCCTTCCCTGCTGTCCAGGCTGAGGGCTCCACCCCCTAAGCGGCCTTTGGTGTTGGTTGAAGGTAGTGCAAGAGCGGGGGAGCCCTTACTCAAGGTACCTAACTGAGCCGAGAAAAAGGAAAAAAAAAATCGAAAAGAAAGAGCAAATGAAGCGGAAGTTTCAAGGCCCTCTGCGAGGAATAACAGTATAAATAACCGAAGACGTCTTGTAAACACTGCGGTCATAACCCCGAACATTAAACAGCCCCGGTGGCATCTGGCGCATCGGCCGCCGCTGGCTGCGCTGGGGCAGCGAGGGAACCCGGTCCCAGGCTCCTCGGACGCGCCTCTCTGTTTATCTCAACTTAATCTTTCCCAACGAGCTGTTCCGTAGCCTGGAAGATGTTTAAATTAAAACCCAATCCACCGGAAGTCGTGGAGAGGAGCTGAACGCGCTGGCTAATGTAACCGAAAGGCAGGCATGCGCGTTGTTATAAGTAATCATCAATTATTAATAAGAAATATATAATACACGTTGCAGCCCTTTGAAAATCGTAAAACACATTCCAAAGGTATGGCATTTATGTTCTTCATCGCTCCCGGTATTTCTTCACTGTTTTGCAGCTATGGGTTGCTTGGGTTCATGTACGTGCCTGGAAAGTTTTAGAATGTGGAGTTTACCTTCCTGATCGTGTTAGCAATTAAACTGTGGAATAACTGAAAATCAGATTTTTCTTTTCTGGTGTGTTTTTCTCTTGAATTGTGTAACTGTTAATAACTTTAATCCTTCCCCTTCTTTGTTTACAGTTACATTATTTCTAGTTGTCTGAAAAGTAATGTGCAAACTTGAGGGACTAGTTTCTTTTTGAGGTTTCAGTGCAAAATATGATCTGCACCTTCATAGTGGAAATCGTATTTAATTAATCATTGTCTATCTCTAGAAGTTTGGATTGAGATTCAAAAGAACCACTTTTATTATATAGCTCCCCCATAGTTCCCCATCTTTCTATTCCAAATATATATTTTTAAAAATCACACCAAATGTCAGGGCTTTTAGCAATATAAAGAAAGATTTATTTTTGAAAGTAGCAAAACTTGTTTGAAAAAAATATATATCTTTAAGTGAATTACTTTATAAATGTGACTGTCAAAGTCAGCTATTCTATGATCTACATTTTACAACATATTGTACAAAAGATACACATTGATAGGCTCTTATTATCTATTTATATATTTATAATTACATATTGCACTTGGACCAGCAAGGCTCGCAGAGTCATTCACGGTAGAAGTTAATAAAGTTAAATAGATGGGAATCGTTGTAAGTACAATTGATGTCCTCTGGTTTGGAAACGAATCTCCTCGTCGCTGTAAAGTGTTCTCGAGGGGTGGGAAAGGGAGAGGAGCGTTGCAAGGGGGAAGAAGAGACAGAGAGCAGGGAGGGCAAGGGTCGCCTTCCCGGGGCCCGCTCCCCCCCACCCCCCCGCCCCGGGAGCACGCCTTTCCCAGACTCGCACCTCCAAGGTCAGGACGCCGTGGTTCCACATCAGCGGCTTGCGGTCACCACTTCTTTCAGGTCACTCTCGGGTTTCCCGGCCACCATAAAGGGCCACGTCTGCAGGAGAGAAGAGGGTGGAGGAGGTAAGTGGCCATGGAGGAGGGGTGGGATGAGGCGGGAGCCCGAGACCAAAGGAAAGGGCGCCCAAAGGAAAGGGCGCGGTGGGGGGCAGGCAGTGAGTTGAAGAGGCCCGTTATCTCTGCAGTTTTCCCAGTGACCTAGTGCGCCCTGTGGCTGGGTAAAGCAGAAAGCAGCGTTGGCGCCAAGCCACAGCTCGAGGTGGTAGAGCAAAGAGGGGCTCGCCCTGGGTTCGAAGTGAAACCCAAGAGAGGAGACCCTTGGAAAGCCCAAAGTGGCTCCTGCCCTGCCACAGCCCGGAGGCAGATGCTAGGGTGAACCGGAGCAGGGAAGCCGAGAAGGACCTCGCGCCACTGGGCACCGGGTTCAAGGTGAAGCGCCCTGCTGGCCCTCTTCTGACGTCCTGGTTAGGCTTCCCAGCCCTCTCTCTTTCACCCCCATGGATTTCCCTAGTTCTGTCTTTAGTTTCCTCCATCACAAACGCCGGTTTTAACCACAAGTTCTAAATTAATCGCCAGCTCTTAAAAACAAATAATGTTAATAAAAGAATATAGCCGTGTATTTTCACATTGTGTTCCTACTGGGCTGAGCAAGCATAGCTTTCTCTTCCCTTCTCCGTTCTGTGTATAATAAGCTCCCTTAAGTTTCTTATTCAAAGACGAAGGCAGCAGCAGTTGTAAATGAAGGCACTGCTTTCATTTTCGTTCCAGATTTCAAAAAGCTGTTTCCTCATTCAAAAACCCTGACTTTTAATTAGAAGGAAAAATATTTTTCACAGCAAAATGTGTTTTGCATCCCCCCCCCCCCCGTTCCTGAAACCAATTCAGAGAGAAGACAATTCAAACCTTCAAACCTCTCTCGCTAGTGCCCACCGATAAGAAGACTTTTAAGAGGAAAACCTCTCCTTCTTATCATATATAAACAGAGGTAGTTAGTTTTTGTTTTTCTTAGCCCCTGGAAGTTTTAAAATTAAATCAAACGAAAAAGGAATTAAAATATAGTTTTTAAACAGTAAAATGCAGTTGAGAAAAATATTAGACTCAATGAGCATTATTTTTTAAGATAAAAAGTATCATGTTCTTAAACTTGAAGGAGAGTGACCTATTTTAATATTATTTATTACACTAATACTCGTGATAATGTTCTGATTATGCTGGTATTTGCTAGAGATTCTGGGATTCGAGAATGTTAATCCATCTATAGGAGAAGTGCAGAATATTTAAATAGTTGGGGACTTATGTGACAATTATGGGGGGGCATGATGTGTCCATATGTAAAGGTTCTACATATCCTTGGGAAAAAAACAGAGTTGGCTGTTCTTATTTACAGGAATTAGAGGGGGCGGGGAATCAAGTTCTGCTCTTCGGCTGAAAGAATAAAAGGATTACTAAAATGCCGCCTCAGCGCGCAGCATCTTGTCCGTGTTCGCTGTCCCGCACCGGCCCTGAAGGCGCTGGCGCGAGTGCGGAGGGATCCCTTCTCTTTGCCAGCTCGATACGCCTGCAAACTCCTAATTGGGCTGCCACGTCAAATACTCGCATAAATCAACGCGTTCCCGAGGCTTGGAAGGCAGAGTGTGAGGGCCGTGTGGGGATCGCCTGCACCGGTTCCCTAGAGACGCTGGCTGGCGGTGACTAAGATGCGCGGCTCCCAGGCTGGCGCGCACCCTCTCACCGGGGATCCACTGCAGCCGCGCTGGGTCGCCCCCGCCCCCCTCCCCGGGACGCCGCCGCCGCACCGGAGAACTTACCAGGTTGACCGGGTGAATATAACCGTTCTCGTACTTGTCGTTGGCCAGGATCTGCCTCAAGTGGGCGATGTAGCTGGACGCCAGCCTAAGCGTGTCCAGCTTGGAGAGCTTGGTGTCCGGGGGCACCCAGGGCAGCGTGGTCTTGAGCCTGGAGAAGGCCTTGCTCAGCACCCGCATCCGGGCCCGCTCGCGCGCGTTGGCCGCATTGCGCTGGACCTGCTTCCCTTCCTGGCTGACCCCGCTCAAGGGGCTCTTCTTGGTGGGAGCCTTCCTCCTCTTGCCCAGGCCGCCGCGGCCCTTCTGGGGAGAGCCGGTCTCGCAGTTGGAGCTCTCCTCGGTGCTCTCGTTGGAAGTCATAAACTCCTTGTTCGAGTCCATTTTCAGCCCGTCGCAGTCCAGCATCTCCACCTCTTGAAGGTCGTCCACATCGCTGAGGGAGCCGGTGGACATGTTTGGGGGAGAGGATGAGAGAGACAGGGAAGGGAGAGAGGAGAAAGGGAAGAGAGACCCCGAAACCAATGGACCCCCCGAACGTGGAGTGTGGGGCAGCCACCTCGCTTGGGAGCCGGGAGTTGCGGGTCTGGTTGGGTCTCACACCCCTTTCCCCTTCGCAGAGTCTTGAGAAGGAGCCGCGAGGGCTTCTGCGGGCAGGAAGCCGACGCTCTGTTTCCCCACCCCCGGAGTCGTGGCCGTAGAGGAGTGTGAGAGAGCGCTGAGGAATTTGGTGGACACTAGGAATTTATCTGGGGAATAGAGGCGGATCCTTGCAGCCCAGGGGAGGGGCCTGCCAGGCCCCAGCAACTCTCTTAGACCCCTTTCACAACCGGAGGGAAACTCACGCACAGCCCCTGATTTCCAGCTTGCAATGTGAATCAACTCCATTGCAGGACGCAAATACCAGTCACCCTCTCCCACTCTTGGCCGGTCTGGGGAGGAGCGGGCCCTACTGAAGCTCCTTCTCCGGGGGGGCCCATCTCCTAAGGCCCGCTTTCCTTCTTAACAGGTCATAGCTGCCTGAAACTGAGAACTTTAGGAAAACGACCACATCCTTTTGCTCTTTCTGGGCCTTCCGCCCACAAATCTCACTAGCATCCTCTGGCTCCCCGCTTTCCCCCAGAAAACACCAATTAAAATGCAGGCAGGGATCAGCCACCTCCTGCCAACACCCTGTAAGACTCTGTGGCTTTTCCAAGATATCTTCACACCTTAACTCTGGTGAATTAAGACAATAAGTGCTTTCTAGGATCATTAGGGTGATGACAGAGAAAGTACCAAAAAATCCATCTACACCTGGTCACTTTAAAGATATCGAGGAACTGCCAGTGTGTACACGAACAGACATGACCATTGCACACCCCCACACAACCACACACAGTTTAGGGGGAGTGGAGGAAATGAGATAGAGTAATACTGGTGTGTGGAAAACATTTTGTTAGTCGATAATCTTTTCTTAATGAAACTAAAACTTATAAACTTTTCTTAATGAAATTAAAACTAAATTTCTTTCTAGAAATGCAGTTAATATTGTCTTAGGAATGTTAGCTGCTCTCAGACATCACCTTGTCCAGGATTTCTGGTTTCCTCCCTCCCAGTGCTGCCTGCAGCCTTCGCCTTCTCCTTACATCCTCTTGGCTACCAGGGTTCTGCATGTAAAGCTGACATTACAAAACGTTAAGCAAAATGTTCTGTTCAGAAGGTTCTTTTTTCCATCTCTAACTCCAGCCCCGACCATCTTTCCTGGAGAAGAAGAAAATCTGGGGAGTAAGTAGAAAAGCAAAGGGAACCAGAAACCAAGGGATTGAATGACATCGATGAAATGAAATCAGAGAGACAGAATGCATGAATCTTTCTTACTAGTTCTCCAGGTTTTTTTTCCTCGCAATTAAGCATTGACAATGAGGGGCTAGAGCAAAATGCAAGAGCGGATTCTGAGCTCTTGGCTCGGAATCTGCACCCCTCTTCTACATTAAGATACCATATCTCTAATCCTGGGCTCAGCTGGGAATTCACTAACCTCTAACATTTTGTTTTGTTAGCAGGGTCTTGTTTGCTTTCCCCCTATGCTGTAAACTAAACAGATTGTCAGCAAATCAGTCTTTATTAATGAATTAGTGAGACCCCTCCCCGCCCCCATAATATCTTTGCCCAGGATCCAAAATTTGTTAATCACCGGTGTAGAGATTTATGGGCTCTCTTATTTTCTGTTGTTTGTGCAGGTGGAGATTTAAATGACCATATCCACTACCAAGATTTATTGCGAGAGTGATTGATGTTATAAACCAGGAAAAGGACTCTTCACACAGCAGGGATGATAGAAATACCAAGTTGAAGTTGCCTTTGTCCTCATGCACAAATGACCCAGCACTACACGCAGAAAGTATAATAATTTAATCTGAGATCCAAGACAGCATTAAGAGAACACCCAACAGACCCGTTAAATGTTTCCCCTCTGATTCCCAAATTAGTTTTCTTTGATTTTCCCTCCCTTTTCTCAGTCTTGGTAAGACATGAAAGTTTAAGTTATTTTTAGACTAAAAGAGCTACGTGAAAGTGGGCATTGGCCAATACTTTGTGAAACGTGTGTGTGTGTGTGTGTGTGTGTGTGTGTGTGTGTGTGTGTGTGTAGCTACTGAGATATCTGCGGAATAACCACAGGTAATTTATTTATTTGGGCTCTGGAATGGGATGATAATTAAGAATCAGAACTATGGCCTTACCACATACCAGGCTAGTAAGCTAGGAAGGTCTGGTTTTCTGCTACCCTTCAGTTGGTAAGCTGCTGAGGCTGTTTGGGGGATAGTAACAATCATAGTAATATATACATCCGAATAGCTTTCTGCTCTCTGATTTTTCTAAGGTCTGAAACTTAAAAACAGCAATTTCTGGAAAGGAGCAAAACTAGCTTCATGCCACAAGCTGCTTTTTGTGCCTAGCAATGAGTATTATTTTTTAGATAAGTAAGAATTAAGTCCACTTATCCTGCAGTGATACATTTAGTCTGGGAAGGGCTAGTGGGTTGATAATGAACTTGGGGTATTTGTAAAAACCCTCTAAGCGATAGCTACCTGTTTGGGAGCAAGCTATGAAGAAGGCTGTTATTTAGGTACCTGATGTACAGTCTTGAAGACAGTACATTAAGATGAATAATACTTTTTCCTCTTGACATTTTGTGTCTACCCTACTAATAAACACTTAGGGACAGATGGGTGGGGGAAATGACTTATTGTTGGATTCTACTGAGAAAATCAGTTAAGCTGTAACTTAAGCTGTGCCAGATTCTCCCAAAATATAAACTATAATTCTGTGAGAAGAGAAGCATTTTTGAGAAACTGTATTAACTCTTTCCATAACAAGAGAAATCCTTTGAACATTACAGTTTCAAAGAACTAAGTAGAAAACTAGTGGTGTGAGAGCATGAGGTAGTTACTAAAAGTTCTTACCTTACTTTTAAGAGAGAATTTATGCCTCAGCGACATCTGGCCAATTTGTTGCACACTTCTAACAATTTGTTCTGCAAGAAAGGCTATCTTTGAAAGATTTCAATGCTAAGGAAGATTTATCTCCAAAAGTAGTAAAATGAAGATTAGGCATGGAATGTATCCTTGAACGTAAATCCTCGTTTATCGACTGATAAATTTTCAGGAAGTTCAAATTTGATTCAGTTGCACTTGGATGGGATAATTTGCTTCCTTTTTTATGAGAAGAAAAACATCAGGGCTTCTTTTGAACTGACTTCATCTACCATCATCACATTCTCTTTCCCAGGGGGCAGGGAAATACGTCTTTAAACTCGAATTTTAGTCCTTTTCTCATACTCCCTACTAGTTGGCCAGGAGGCACACAGGCTGGCAAATTGGCGAAACTGCCAATTCTATCTTTCTTTCTTCACTTTTAATTAACACCTCCAGATGTGTTATTCTCTTCGTTTGATGGTAACCAACACCACTTCAACGATGTGCTGACCTTCTATGCAAATTGACACCTCTTTCTCCATTGGACATAATTGCCACTGTATCCTTTGCTGCTAATTGATTATTTTCCATCTTCAGCTTATAAGACTATTGAAATTTGACTGTATTTTGTTAAATTTCAACTTATTTTGTCAGGTGAGCATTATCTCCCCTTACTGATTTCAAATTATAATGATGCTGGCCTGTTATATTTTGGCAGCCCAAGTGAATACAGCACTAGTGAGTGAGATTGGTGGCTATGTAAGGACATCAGTGATGGTGATGCTATCATCTTTACCTGGCACCATTTTTTTAAAATTTATTTTATTGACATATAGTTGATTTATAACGTTGTGTTAATTTCTGCTGTACAGCAAAGTGATTCGGTTATACATATACTGTATATACATTCTTTTTCATATTCTTTTCCTACGGGGCACCATTTATGATCAGTATTCAGAAGTCCTCTTGGTGTTCACCTTACTGTCCCCCTCCTTTTCATTTAATTCAATGAATTGTAGATCCAGTGCTATAGCACTAAAATTTAAAGCTGGCAGACAGCAACAATAAAGTCCAAAGAAAGACTCATTATGGTTTTCAGATCCAAGAGTTAACCTTGCATCCCACATGCTCCGAAATGTAACTCTGAAAGCAAGAAAGCCTGTGCACGTGAAAGACAGAGTTTACCTTGAGGGGCAAGTGAGCTGAAAGAAACTCAGGCAGATAGTGAGAAGTGAAATTTTTACAAATCGAGTTTGATGTCATCCTAAGTCTTCTAACACTAGCATATTTTATTAGACCTGCTCAATATTAGGAGAGAAGAGAGAAGAAACTGAACAACTCACCTGTCAGGTGCCATGTGAGGTTCTGTGCCTCCATTCTCCCATTTTATGTAGAATCTCTCTTTTCTGTTGTCACCACTAAAGAAAGAGCTGCTATATGAAATAGAAATCTTTTTTTTAAAGTTATATTTGCAATTTTTAATTGAAGTATAGTTGGTTAACAATGTTTCAGGTGTACAGCAAGTATATATCTCTTTCCCAGATTATTTTCCATTACAGGTTATACAGGGTTATTAAAGGGGATTACAAGATATTGAATGTAGTTCCCTGTGCTATACAGCAGGTCCTTGTTGCTTATTTATTTTATATATAGTAGTGTGTATCTGTTAATTCCAAATTCCCAATTTATCCCTCCCCACCCTTTCCCCTTTGGTAACCATAAGTTTGATTTCTATGTCTGTGAGTCTATGAAATGGAAATCCTGGTAGAAATGTGTGCCAGAGGCTTTCCACCCGTAACAATGAAGTTTTAGAAAAACTTGCTTGAGTGATGACTTTTCTGTGTCTTAGTGTAAAGCCTGAGCAAAACCTCCCAAGTTTTCCTAAAAAGAATAAATTTTATGGATTATATGAAAGATGCCTATAAAGCATTTTATGTTAAATATGGCTTATTGATGGCAATAAAACAAAGAGGCCAACTTACTGTCAGGCCCCTTCCT